TTGCTTGAACTGCTGCATATATATATCCTTGCTCTTGCTTGTTTAGCAGTGTTATATATATATGCTCTGCTGCATGTGAACTGGCCTTGTGGCCTTGACCTTGTGCTCGGAATTTGTGTGGTATCCTTGAGATCCACCCTGAGCTTGCTTTGCTTTGCTTTGCTTTGCTTGACTGGTCTTGTGACCCCTTGCTCTCCCCCACTTTGCCTATGGGGGTGTGTCAGATGATTATATTACTGATGCATATATTTAGGCGATAGTGGGGTAGCCCATAGGGGGTACAACCCAATTAGGGTTGGTACTTGTACTTGTTTCATTCCATAGTGCACTCATTCCTCGCCTCTATCTCAACACAGAGTTCCCTAGAAAACAGCTCTGAAAGCCTGAGTACCAGTGGAAAAAAAAAAAAAAAATCAAAGCCGACTGAGACACTCCAAGCCGTTAGTAATCATTTTGTGTTTTACACGAACGTTGACTTGTTGGAGTGCTGGTCATCTCAGGCGTTTTTTCAGGAAGGAATAAGAATGTGCATTCAGTGTACAGTTCGATAAAGGCTGAAAACTCAGTGTTAACTATGAAATGAAGGCTGGAAAATCAGTCTTACAAAAATCTGTTGGGTGCAAATAATTTTTTTTTACGTCAACCAGCCGCCTGCGTCGCATTTTGCATATTTGTGTGTGTGCGCATTTTTCATTTTCATTTTGTGAACGTTCTGTGCGCATTTGTTCTTTCGTTTTGTGTGTTTCGTTTTTATTCATAAATGCATTTTGTGTTTTTGCAAATTTCAGTTTCGTTTCACTGTTCTCATGAAGCTCCCATGAAGCCCTCATGGCGCGCTCAAATGAGGCTCACGCGAAGCTCTCAAATGAGGCTCAAATGAAGATATTATGGAGCTCAAATGTAGCACGCATGGCACTTCAATGTTTCATGCGAGGCTCATGCGAGCGACCATGATGTCAGATGAGTATATATTGCTGATACATATATGTAGGCTGTAGTGGGGTAGCCCATAGGGGGTACAACCCAATTAGGGTTGGTACTTGTACTTGTTTCATTTCATAGTGCATCATTCCTCGCCTCTATCTCAACATGGTATCGAGCAGGTTCCCAAGTGGGAACTGTTCCTAGGGCCCACCTACTATTCCGTCCTGCCCGGAGCGCGCTCTGCCCTAGCCCGAGTCGCGCTCGGCCTTTTTTTTCCTTTGGCGGCCCGATCGCGTCGAGCCGCCCTCGATTTTTTTTTGGCGCGCCACCTACGCGGCCTTGTCGCGCCGCCCCTAGACGGCCGCGCCGCGTCGCGCGTGCCGCCCTCCAGTCGCGCGCCGCCCCCTCTGACCTTCGCGACGCCGGCGCCGTCTCTGACGGCCCCGCGATCGCCTGCGACGGCCCCGCCGTCCCCTCTACCGGCCCCGCCACTGCACTCAACGGCTCCGCCGTCCCCTCTGCCGGCCCCGCCGCTGCACTTGACGGCCCTGCCGCTGCCCTTGACGGCCCCGCCGTCCCCTCTGCCGGCCCCGCCGCTGCACCCGACGGCCCCGCTGTCCCCTCTGCCGGCCCCGCCACTGCTTTAGACGGCCCCGCCGCTGCTTCAGACGGCCCCGCCGCTGCACCTCACGGCCCCGCCGTCCCCTCTGACGGCCCCGCCATTGCACCTACCGGCCCCGCCGCTACCCCTGACGGCCCCGCTGCTGCACCTGCCGGCCCCGCCGCCTCATCTGCAGGCCCCGCCGTCTCACCTACCGGCCCCGTTGTTGTACCTGACGGCCTCGCCGCTTCACCTACCGGCCCCGCCACTGCCCCTGACGGCACCGCCACTGCATCTCCCGGCCCCGCAGCTGCATCTCCCGGCCCCGCCACCCCAGCAACTGCGCCGCCCCAGCAGCCGAGCCGCCCCAGCAGCCGAGCCGCCCCAGCAACCGAGCCGCCCCAGCAGCCGAGCCGCCCCAGCAGCCGAGCCGCCCCAGCAGCCGAGCCGCCCGAGCCGCCCGAGCCGCCGAGCCGCCCGAGCCGCCCAGCAGCCGAGCCGCCGAGCCGCCCGAGCCGCCCGAGCCGCCTGCACTGCCCTGTCTGGTGAGCACTGAGCTTTCCTCTGCGCACTGCCCTCACCCTACTGCTGTCATGGCTACCCCCAGTGTCCTCACCTTTGACGCTGAGGGCAGAGCCATCGACTTTGACGTGTGGGTAGACGACCTGCTGCTTTTCCTACAGTGCGACAGAGCTGACGGCCTCTCTCTCTTTGATCTCACTTCTGGTGCCTCTCCCGCCCCTGCTGCTACTGAGGATGCCACTGTTCGCTCACAGTGGGCCACACGCGATGCTGCTGCACGTCTTGCTGTGCGTCGCCACCTCCCTCCCTCTGAGCGTGCACACTTTGGGTCGTACAAGAGTTCTCAGACCCTGTACGACGCCGTTATTGCACGCTACTCCTCCCCTGCCACTGCTGCACTGAGCCGCCTCATGCTACCGTACCTCTTTCCCGACCTTGCTTCTTTTGCCACAGTCACCGACCTCATTACCCACCTGCGCACTAGTGACGCTCGCTTCCGCGCTGCGCTTCCTGCTGAGTTCTGCGCCAAGAACCCCCCCCCCCATGTACTTCCCTCTCTACTACATTGTCACCCGCCTCCCTGACTCCCTTCGCGGAGTCAGGGACGACTTACTCTCAGTCTGCCCCACCACTCTCACTGTTGACCTCCTCAAGAAGTCCCTCCTAGCAGCCGAGAAGAGCATTCTCGCTGTAGGGGCCTCTCGTGGTCACCCCCATCTTTGAGGGGTGTTCCCCCTCCCCTCTCCTGCCCTCTGTCGCCTCTGCTGCTACGGCCGACCTAGTTGGTTTTGAGTCGGTCGGTGCGGCGTCTGCCCCCAGTGGGAGACGTCGCTCTGGCAGGGGCAAGGGGGGCAGGAGCGGTGGTGGAGGCGGCGGGGGCGGTGGAGGCGGCGGTGGAGGCAGCGGAGAAGGTGGGGGTGGTAGCGGGAGTGGTGGCGGGAGTGGAGGTGTCAGCGGCGGCAGTGGAGGCGGGGGCGGCAGCGGCGGTGGTGGTGGGAGTGGAGGCGGAGGCAGCGATGGCGGCGGCGACGGTGGGATTGGCGGTGGCAGCGGAGGTGGTGGCGGCGGCGGCGGAGGAGGCGGCGGCGGAGGTCGTGGCTCGTCGCAGAGGAGTGGCTGCGGTGGTGGTCAGCGCCAGCAGCAGCGGCAGCAGCGTGGTCAGGAGACCCTCTCCCCGCAGCAGCTCCGTGAGTGGTACGCTGCACGTTAGAGGGGTGGGGGTACTGGTCCGTGCACCTACGTCCTGCGCACTGGCGACCGTGCGGGTGAGCCGTGTGGTGGTCCACACTCCACCCAGCGCTGCTTCGGCCGCCTGACTGACGCTTGGCGCCGCCAGTTTCCTGACGCCTCTGAGATCCCTCGCTGGGACCAGCTGTCTAGGGCAGGAGTAGCTATCTTTGATCTTGACTTTGATGCTATTCTTGCTGCCATGTATGCTGTGACTATTAGTGAGGAGGGTGACTGTTACCGGTGTTTCCCGCCCGACCCGGGCATTGGTACTGCGGCTGTAGGTGCTGTTGAGGCTGCTGCTCCAGGTGCTGGTGAGGCTGTCGCTCTAGGTGCCAGTGAGTCTGTGTCCTCAGGTGCTGGTGAGTCTGCTCTCTCAGGTACTGCTTCGGCTCCGCCCTCTCTCACCTTCACTCTTGACTCAGGAGCGTCTCGCTCCTTCTTTCGAGACCGCACCACACTCACGCCGCTTAGTCGGCCAGTGGAAGTCTCCCTGGCGGACCCCTCTAGGGGTCCTGTTCTGGCTCGCTACTCCACTGTCCTTCCGTGCCCTGCGGTCCCATCTGGCTCCCTGTCCGGTCTCTACCTCCCCTCGTTCTCTACGAACTTGGTGGCGGGTGCTGACCTACAGGATGCAGGGGTTGACCAGTTCACCCCTGCGCGCCGACGGGACACCCACTGCACGGACGCGGACACGGGTCGACACTTGACCACGTTCACACGTGGGCCGGGGTCGAGCCTGTACACACTCACTGTTCCGTCTCCTCCTCCTGCGTCTGGTCAGGTAGCTGCGTCGGGTCAGGTGTTTGCTGCAGCGTCCAGGTCTGGTCCTGAGTCTGCCCCCTGCTCGTGTCACCTCCTGTCCCACGAGACCCTCCTGTGGCACCACCGCATGGGTCACCCCTCCCTGCCTCGTCTCCGGGGCATGGCCTCTCGCCTTCTTGTCTCTGGCCTTCCCCGGTCCCTCCCTCCCCTTCCTCCGGGACCTGGCCCTCCCTGTGTCCCCTGTGTCGAGGGTCGCCTGCGGGCTTCCCCTCACTCCTCCCCGTTTCCTCCGACGGAGGCCCCGATGCAGACGCTTCACATGGACGTGTGGGGCCCAGCCCGCGTCCGTGGACAGGGTCACGAGCGCTACTTCCTGCTGGTGGTTGACGACTACTCGCGTTACACCACAGTCTTCCCCTTGCGCAGCAAGGGTGAGGTCACTGAGGTGTTGATCGACTGGATCTGCGCAGCTCGTCTCCAGCTCAGGCGGAGCTTCGGCTCGGACTTTCCTGTTTTGCGTCTGCACTCGGACAGAGGCGGAGAGTTCTCCTCCGGCCTTCTGCGAGCCTACTGTCGTGCACGAGGCATCCGCCAGCCCTTAGGCATGCGGGTGTGGTGCAGGGGGGGTGTGGTGCTTGGGGGGTGTGGTGCAGGGGGCGTGGTGCATGCATGTAGGGTGTGATGATTGGAAAATCAAGAAAAGGCTTGGGGAGATGCTCCACAGAGCTCATGCCGTGCCCACCACTCATGCCGTGCCCACCACTCATGCCGTGCCCACCACTCATGCCGTGCCCACCACTCATGCCGTGCCCACCACTCATGCCGTGCCCACCACTCATGCCGTGCCCACCACTCATGCCGTGCCCACCACTCATGCCGTGCCCACCACTCATGCCGTGCCCACCACTCATGCCGTGCCCACCACTCATGCCGTGCCCACCACTCATGCCGTGCCCACCACTCATGCCGTGCCCACCACTCTGAAGGCAATGAACTCGGAGCGGAAGTGCAGAGCGAGGAAGGGCTTGGGGAGACGCTGCACAATGCTGGCGGCAAGATAGTGCAACTCATGCTTGTAGGGCAGCTGCTGCAGCGCTATGTCGTCCGTGTGTGGCTCAAACGACACGCGCTCCCACGTGGTCTTGAACCACAGCACCACGTCCTTGTCCTCCCTGTACGCGCACGTGGGATCGGGGGTGGGTGTGGCAGAGTTTGAGACATCTAAAACTTCGACGCACACATGCTCCCACCTGGTCTTCAACCACAGCACCCCACGTCCTTGTTGCTCCTGTGCTTGTACGTGGGATCCGGGTTTGGGTACAGCAAGGGGGTGGGTGTGGCAGAGGTTTGAGACGCCTCAAAGTCCACAGTGCACTCGCTCCAACGGGGACTTGAGCCACAGCACCATGTCCTTGTCGCTCCTGTTTCCATGGGTGTGGCACCGGGGCTGGGTCTGGCAGCAGAGAGGTCGTATGACAGAGTTTTGAGGTGGTACTGAAAGCTCACAGTACACGCGGTCCCACGTAATGTTGAACCACCCCGTTATGTCCGTGTCTCTCTTGTGGTCGCACGTGGCACACGGTTTGGCACGGGGGTTGGTATGGCACCGGAATGGGCGTAGCAGAGGGGCTGGTTGGCATGGTCCACATGGCACACACCCGCTCACGACTTGACATTGTTACCATGGTGTTGTAACAGCCAAGGGGTTGCAGCAGCAGCAAGCATCACACATACTGCAAGCATCGCACACCCTGCCAGCATCACACACCCTGCCAGCATCGCACATACTGTTTGCGAACAAGGTTTTCGATGTCGTGTTTGTTAGCAGGCATGTTGAAGAGCAGCGTGTTGTGCTCCGTGGGCACGTGCCCCAGGGCGAATGTCAGCAGCTCCCCTGTGAACTCCGACACCATGTCTGCTCGCCCACTCACATGCCATGCCCCCCACGTGCCATACCCCACGAGCAATGCCCCCACAAAGCACCCATCCCACACGCCATGGCCCCCAGATACACCAAAAAAAAAGGAGGGGATAAACTTGAGGTTTTAGTGTCACATGGAGGGCAGCGTGTATGGTGTTTGTCACATGTGTAGAGGGAATGGAGTGAGGAGGTGGGACGGTATGGCATGTGTGTTGTTGCGAGATAGGGCAGAGGCAAGGACACACACACATGGATGCACGCACACACACGTGTGCGAGGGCGCGCATGCTCACGTTCGCACACAGATGCACACACACAGACATACATGCACGCACGCCCGCGCACACACACACACGCGCTCACACACACGCACACACGCATACACACACATACACCGCACACACACACACCACACACACATACGCACACTCATCATGAAGGGCCTGAAGTGAGACATATTGCCAGAGCACACTCAGACTCTCACACCCACCCTCACTCACTCACGCACTCTCTATCTCCCTCCAATCTACTTGCAAGATCCATCCCAAAAGCACATTTGGAATGCCAACAGCAAGCCAAACCCCAAAGCATCACACACAAACATGCAACGGCCCACCCCAGACAGAGCAATTGTGAGGCAGGCAAGGCACGGCCCCAAATACATCACAGAAAAGCATGCAAGAACCCACCCCAGTCAAAGGGATTTCGGTTGAGGTAGGGCGATGTGACCCAGGTGAAGCCCACAGAGGGCTCCTTGAGAGCTGCGCGCGCCAGCAGCAGGAAGAGCTCCGGGGATATCCAGGGCGCCGCATCCAAGGGCGCGAGGTCCCAGTAGGCGCAGAGCGGCAGGGGCTGCGAGAGGTCTATCCGGCTGTTGCTCCCCTGGGATGCACCCACGAGCACGGGACAGGGGGGAGTGGGGGGCAAAAAGGGGAAGGGAGAGGGGGAAGGGGAAAAGGGGGGGAAAGTGGGGATACGAACGGGGGAGGGGGTAGGGGAAAGAGAGGAATGTGGGGTGTGAGAGGTCAATCTGGCTGTGACTTCCCTGGGATGCAATGAAGCGCACGGGACGGGAGGGAAGAGGGGGAGTAAGGGGGATGGAGAGCAATTAGGTACCTGCGCCCTCGCGAGCGGCACCATGCACTCTCATTATTTGGCAGCACGCACTCTCACCAGCAGTACCAACCTCACCAGTGGCAGCACGAGCACGCGGTTGGCCATGCGGGCAACGCGGGCCGCCTCCACGAGGTGCGAGCGCGCGTTGCTGAGCTGCTCCTCCGACATGGCGAACACCAGGTACCGCGCTAGCGCGTTCACGTCCAGTCGCTGCAACGCCTGGCAGCCGCCGAAGGGGCGTTGGACGGGGAGGGGGGAGGAAGGGAGGAGGGGGAGTGGAAGAGGGGGAGTGGAGAGGAGGAGGGGAAACAGGTGGGAGAGTAGAGAGCCTAGGACATGGAGCAGCAATGGCAATGGTATACGGCATCCGCCTCATGTCGGCCCAGGCATGCCGTGCCGTCCATGTGTGGCACCTATGACCCCCAACTAAAGACTCCCCTGCTGCTACCCACTGCTCGTCCACTCACGAGTCAGGTCACCCAGCTTACACTGCGGGAGAAGGGCACGCCAGGCGCGGGCCAGCACGGCTCGGGCCAGTGCCGGCACGTGCTGCCGCGGGCGAGCAGGTTGCTCTGCACGCGGTGCAGGCGGCGACACATGGACTCCATTCCGCGCGCCATTGCTTCCGCGCTCGTGTACCCGCGCCGCTGCGCGCTCTGCAGCCACGCGCTCTCGTCCACGCCGCCCTGCACGGCGCGCTGCCACGGCGCCGAGCACAGAAGCGCCACGTCATGCTGCACTCGCAGTCGCTCCGCAATCTGCGCCGCCGCTGGCGGTTCTTGCGTGTCGCCCAAGGACCCCCCCGCCGGCGCCTGCGCTGCCTCCGCCACCACGCGGAGAGCAAGCGCTTCAATGGCGGCTGCTTCTCTCTGCTTGCCCTGTAAAGCCCACTCCTGCAGCGACCGACACAAACTAGCTCGGCAATTGGCGGCGAGACGAGACTCCGTCTCCGGCTTCGAATCTAGACCGTTCATAGCATCGCGACTCGGCGCACGGCGGCTCGGCCAGCGCGGCGGCGGCCATCCGGCCGCTTCCGCGACTTTCCGGTTCAGCCAAGAGCCGCGGAAGTCGTGGAGGGAGCGCACCACTACTTCTAGCTCGACCATGCATATGGGCGGAATGGGCGCGCGGCGAGTCTGGAAAAGAACGATGAAGGCGAGTGAGGTCGCGAGCGCGACGAGCAGCACGGGCCAAGGAACAACGCCTCCGCCTGATGGGTCGTGCCCCAGCTTGTTGCCATTATTCCCGCACGCGGCGGCGCGAATCCCGATGTCCGAGCCGGGTTTGCCGGAGAGCACGCGGCGGGCGCAGGTGAAGACGATGCCGACCCGAGCCGCGAGGCAGTTCAAGCAGTTCAATAGTACCAGGTGCGGTCGCATTGCGATCCGAGGCGCATTTGCATGGTCTAGAAATTAGTACTGAGCTAGTGGAGCTTGTAGAGATCGATTGGAGGAAATCACAAACCGCCCTATTTTCTAGTTTCCAATTCCAACGGGCAGTGGTTTTGACAGCGCATCTCTTTGCGCTCGCACCCAGTTCCCACGGGCACTTCATTTCTCCTTTTCCCTTTTCCCTATGATCAGATGTGAAAAAGGGTGAGTACTAAGTTTACCTGATTTCCGTTTGGTTCCCAAGGGCAAAAAATAAACCCCTCTCGGATAACAAGCCGTTTGGGAGGCATCAACCCTAAACAACTTGCCTCATGGTGTTTAGGGTTCATGCCTTCTACTTGGCCAGCAATCCAATTGGTTTTTTTTTTTTTTTTTTCGCGAAGCAAACTAATACAATCGTTATGTTCATCTGTTTTCACTTTTTTTTAAACTAAAATATGAAATTAAAAAATGAGAATTACTTCAATGACTACCTTACTTTACTAGTTGTGATACGTATGTAGCTGTGTGCTCCGTCTGTGTGTTAACATTTTGCCTACTTTGTGGTTGTGTCCCTTGTAATGCGTGTATTAGTGTGATGATTTGAAATAATGATTGCATAATGCATGAATATTATGCATAGTAGAATGTATATTAGTTTGATGTATGTTGCTGCTGTATGTATGCTAGTAAATGATAGAAATGCGTGATAGTTATAAGACCTAAACAACTAGGCTACCAGATCTCTTGCATAGCATAGGGTTGAAGTCAATAACCTAATAGTTAAGTCATACAACTAGCACATGAATACAACACAATCCCTAAACCCTAAAAAATATCAGTTCCATCAAATCCCGTTCAAGTGAACACACTCACTAAGTGAGCAAAGAAGATTCCCGAAAATGATAAGCTGATCAAGTTTTTGAGACCCACAGACATGCATTGCTAATGCAATGCAATAAATGAGTATAGATGAACACGCACGCACGCACGCACGCACGCACCCACACACCCACACACACACACACACACACAAACACACACACACAAACACACACACACACACACACATACACACACACACACACACACACACACACACACACACACACACACACACACACACACACACACACACACACACACACACACACACACACACACACACACACACACACACACACACACACACACACACACACACACACACACACACACACACACACACACACACACACACACACACACACACACACACACACACACACACACACACACACACACACACACACACACACACACACACACGCACACACGCACACACGCACACACGCACACACGCACACACGCACACACGCACACACGCACACACCCACACACACACACACACACACACACACACACACACACACACACACACACACACACACACACACACACACACACACACACACACACACACACACACACACATACACACACACACACACACACACACACACACACACACACACTCCCCAGGTCGGCGCCCCCCCCCAAGTCGGCGCCTCCCCTCTTTGTGCCCGTCAACCGTCCAGGTCGACGGCCACCACCTGGTCGACCAGACCAAGTCGACCACACCCCTGGTCGACCAAATCCAGGTCGACCAACCTTGATGTTAGCCGACCACGCCGAGTCGGCTCCACTAAGTCAGCGTCACTAAGTCGACGCCCTGTCAGGTCGACCTCCCAAGTCGACCTCCTGAAGTCGGCGCCCTCTGCTGCAGGTCGGCTGCACCTCCCACACATCCGACCACGAAGTCGGCTCCGCCCAAGCGAGGACGGGGCCAACAAATAACTCCCGTTGACACTCCCCTGTCACGTTCACACTTGGGCCCCAGCCCACATGGCAGCACTCCTCGGAGAATAGCTTGTTGACGTGCACCCAGCACACAGCACGTCGTCCACCGCACCACCCATGCAAGAGGGCATGGCACCTACTGCTGCACGTCGTTGTCGCCGTCGCACTCGTCGACCAAGCACACATGCCTGATGGCGACAGAACACTGGTTGAAGGCCGGATAGTGCAGCGCCTTCGTCAGGAAGTCGACCGGCTGCTTAGCGGCCGGGATGTACTTCAGCGAAAGTTTCCCGCGCTTCACCATATGCTGCAGCCAGGCGTGTCGCCGCTCCATGTGCTTAAGGTTGCCAATCAACCCCATGCCCTCGGCACTTGTGATGGCCGACTTGTTGTCCACTCGAAGGACGGTTGGCTTCCCGGCATCCAGCTGCCTGAACTCTGCGAGGAGGAAGCAAAGGCGGCGTCCCTCCTTGCCGGCTTCAATGGCCGCCATGTACTCCGAATCGGTCGACGACAGCGTTGCGCACTTGATGCGCAGGCTCGACCAGGAGACCGCGGCCCCTCCGTAGATGAACACGTAGCTGCCCGTGCTTGTCCGGCTCTGCTTGTCACTTGCGTCGTCAGCGTCCACATAGCCGACCAGCTCCAGCGACTTTGGTCCGCCGCCGAAATCTAGGGCGGTGTCACGTGTGTTGGCGAGGTAGGTGAGGCAGCGGTCAACCTCGCGCCAACAAACTGCAGCGAGCTGACCTTCTGCCGGTACTCCTCCTCCTGTAGCTCCTATGCCTCCTGTCGTCGAAGGTGAGCTCGGCGTAGGCGTCGACCGAGACCGACGTCTTCGGGGTGCGCCCGATCTGCTCCTCATCGATGAAGCGCCTACGCAGCTTGTCGGCGTAGCCCTGCTGATACAGCCACAGCTTGCCCGCCGACCTGCCGCGCACGAACTCCAGCCAGAGGTACTTCTCCACCGGCCAGATCTCGCGCGGCTTGAAAGCGGCCTCCAGCAGCTCCTTCAGCGCCTTTAGCATCGCGGGGCTACTGCTGGCGGCGAGCAGGTCGTCGACGTAGACCAGCACCCAGCAGGCCACTCCGTCGTCTCCGACCTTGAAATACAGAGCCTCATCGACCTGGCTCTTCTTCCACCTGGCGACGACCAGCATGTCGTTGAGCGTCAAGTACCACAGCAGCGGCGACTGCTTCAGCCCGTACAGGCTCTTCAACAGCTTGCACACCCGGCCGGTTCCGTCGTTGAAGTAGTCCGGAAGGAACATGTAGAGCACCCGGTCGAGCTTGCTCAGCAGGAAGGCGTTTTTCATGTCGAGCTGCATCAGGTTGAGGTTGAGAACGGCAACGATGCTGAGGAAGATCCGCAGCGTGACGTAGCTGCCCAGCGGCGCGAACGTCTCATCGTAGTCGGCGCCATACACCTTGGTGAAACCCTTCATGACCAGCCTCGCCTTCTCGCGCTCGACGGTGTCGTCCATGTGGTACTTCGTCGTCAGCACCCACCAATTCTCCATGATGTTCACTCCCGGCGGATGTTCGACCAGCTCCCACGTCCCCATGCCGATGAGGTTGCGGATCTCCTCTTCCATTGCGGCCTTCACCGCCGCACCCTTCAGCTCGCCAACGCCTCCTTCACCGTCATCGTCGAGATATCCCAACGGTGCTCGGGGTCGGCATGCATGTCGGGGTCGAGCTCCTGGAACTCCTCATCCTCCTCGGTGTCGTCGTACAGCAGGTCATCGTCGTCCACGTCGTACACCGTGGTGAAGGCAGCGGTGACGAAGAATTCGGGTGGCCTCCGTATTCGGCCTGTCGTCCGAGGTGGAGGCTGAACCTCCACCACGTCGCTGTCGGTGGACTCCTCGGCGTCCAATCCTTCGTCACCGGCTGAGTTGCCCTCGTCGTCCTGCTGCACCTTGGTCGGCTTTCCAACCGACTTCTCCCCTGTGGTCGACTCCTCTGCCGACTGCTCCGTGGTCGGCTTCACCGCTGCCTGCTCCCCTGTCGGCTGCTGCCTTGCTGGTGCCTTCTTCGCCGGCTTCACCAAAGTCGGCTGCACCTCCTCGGCTTGCTCCTCCCTTATCCACATCGACTTCACTCCCACGTCGCCTTGCTGTTCGTCACGTCGGCCACCGGCGATGCTCTTGGCCGGCGCCAAAGGCGACGTCCCACTTCTCCCCTCATCGCCGGAGGCCGACACCGAAGTCAGCCCACGCAGGTCGGCCACAAGGGGAGGGGCAAGAGGGACAAGGGAGGGAGAGGGGACGTCCTTGACGTCCTCTGCAGCAGGCTCACCAACCTCGGCGAGCTAAGGGAGCGTCTCCGTTGAGGTGTCTGTCGGCGGGGTGTTGGCGTTCGTCCCAACGACGGCCCATGCTCCGACTTCCACACCTCCAGCGACATGTCCTGGTAGAATATTACGTCCAACGTGGTAACCACCCGGTTGTCAGCGATGTCGAGGAGTCCCCAGCACTTACTCTCCTCTGACACGCCGATGTGAAGGCCGCACCTGGCCTTCGGCTTCAGCTTCCCACCACGCTGCTGCTCAAGGATCAAGAACTGTGCCATGCAGCCCAACACCCGTGCCGGCGACAGGTCGGGCTTCTTCCCAATGAGCAGCTGGTACGTTGTCGTCCCCGGCGGTAGCGTTGACCGCTCAAGGCACTTGCAAACACAGACGGCCTGCCGCAGAGCGAGGTGCTATCAGTGGTGCTGCACGCCCATGTGCAGCAGCATCATCCGCACGGACTCCACCACCGTCCTTATCTCCCGCTGCGCCATGCCGTTCTGCTGCGGGGTGTACGGGCAGGTAAGATCGTGGACGATCCCCTTGCCGTCCACAAATTCATTGAACACCCGTCCGAGGAACTCCCCTCCTCGGTCGGAGCGTAGCATCAGCACTGACTTCTTCGTCTGCCGCTCCACCAACACCAGCCACTTATGGAACTCTAGCAGCATGTCCGACTTCTTGGCGACCGGCCTTACCCACACGGAGCGGGTCTTGCGGTCCTTCAGCAGGAAGAAGTACAAGCTGCCGTCCTTGGCAACCACGCAAAACGGCCCGCACAAGTCGATGTGCACGACGGCGAGCACGACGTCGGCGTCGGAGCCTTTGTAGCGGAAGGTGTGCCGCGCCAGCTTCCCGCCGACACACGAGACACACG